TTTTTTTAAATCCTGTTCAATCACAAACAGTTCAACGGCGCTGAACAGTATCTCTGGCCTACAGTAACTCTCTTGTTGATACAGTCGTCATCAATAACCGACTAAAACAAACTGACTTTTTTAAGATTTAAAAATAGAAATGTACCTCTCAGCAAACTTGTAAAAACTTTCAGAACTCAAAAAACCTTTCATCCATATTACAGAAATAAAAAATTCCGCTAACTCTTCTGACAAATAGAATTAAGAAACAAAAAAGAAAAAAAAATGAGGAAACACTACCAAACAAATGTATGACAAACAAAATAAAGAAAGAAGACCCATAAGAATAATAACGGAAACACGAAATAAATGTCTAAGGTAAGCGATGGATGTTAGGAAGAAACCAGTCCCGGAACTTCATGTTCACTGTATTTTTGTAAAAAGTGAATTTTTGCTTTTAGCCATAAAAGAAAAAACATCAGAGATGTAATAAACAATTTGCGGACTGTCGAACATTCAAATGAGACCTTAGATCCTTTTTCAAGAAGTGAAGAAACTATAATAGCGATAAAGAGGTAAAACTGAAAGTAATTATAAAACTGGAAAAAAGGTCACAACCCATTACGAATAGTTTACAACAGACAAAACGAACGTAATAGAACAATGTAAAACTACAGTTTTTTTTAATCGCACTAGTTTCTAAAGTGAAAATCGGAAAAACAAAACTGAGCTTCAAAACAATACAAAAAACGGAATGAAGAACGAGCGTAAAACTGAGAAAAGGAGAAGTCACACACACCATAACTGTACAAAAAATTCTTCCTTCCAAAGAATGCACGGAAGCTGACTGGAAAAGGACAGTTTAACTAGACCATGCAGCATCACGGCCTTAAACGCTATCTTCTTTGGACATCAGCAACGGATTTATGTATTCGAATCCCTCAAATTCACTCTGGTCTATCTTGGCAATGGCAGATCTGCAAAATGAAAAAACTAATAAGTTGAGATTGAACTGAACCAAGGTGAGCTCTGTCTCAGCTAAAGTCCCCATCACTCCTGCTTATCGTAATGAAACAGACCCAAATTTATTACGGTTATCTCATGGGCTTCATTGACCAAAATGAAAAAGCTCCCGATGGTGTTTAGCAATTTCCTCACTGGTATGCAACTAATAATTTCTTGAAGTTGTTGAGTTAACAAGAGACCTGAATAATAGTGCGCAAGCATTCTTAGTTCAAACGAACCTACAACCCACCACAAATGTTAATATCGCACACATTATTTCAGCAAATCTAAAACAGTAATAATTTTTTTTAAAGAATATTTTATGCAGAAAATATATAATTTCACCTTAATAAACTAGTTTTGATTCAAGTGAAAGAAAGAATAGTAGGAGTATAGCACAATAAGTTCAAAAGATCTAAATCAAATGCTTCTTTTAGCAGGTCAACTGTCGCAAGAAACAAATTATGCAATTTCGTGCTGAATAATGAAGGCCGATTAGCAGGAATTTTTGGCGACAACCAAAAAAAATGGTTTTTGATAGCATTTAAAAAGCTCCAATGTTGCTCCTTAAAGGCTAGGACATACAATAAAAGTTAGGCTGCATACGGTGCTCAATAACCATTTGTCCAAATTTTTTTGCTTCTGTAAACTCAAATTTTCAGATCATTACCAAGATTAAATTTCTACTCAAGAGAAGATATCTTAATTTTTTAGTGATCCAATGCAAATGTCTTTTGAAAAATTTCTCAGATTCACGTCAAAATGAACTTCAAACAAGAACAAAGTACTGAGCAGTTTTTAGGCAGGAGCTGTTGGTAAAAAAAAAACTATATTTTGCAACATAAATGATCCTTTGTGTAACCAGAAAATCCCACTCTCAAAACCCAATATCTGAAAATCTTGACCACTGGCCATTCACCACATCTTCCAGACAGCCTTGCGTCCTTCCAAGAAATGGAAAATAACTCACCATTTTTTAAACCTCATAAAACTCGCAAAGTCTGAAAGCCCAAGCTTTAACCAATTTTCTTAGTCAAAAATGCTGGAAAGTGAACCTTCTCAAAGTTCGTTTTCACTTGCAATGCAAACCAAGACCTATTTGTCTGG